GTGTTTGTGTCTGTGTCTTCCTCTCAGAATTCGACACTTCGACTGCAATGCTAGATTCTGATGCCATTTTTAAATTTTCAACAGGAACATTACGAACTTGTATCTCTATGTCCACACTGCTGTTATGGCCCATGTCCTCTCACACTGATTGATTCCCTGGAGCTTCTGCTGCTGCAGGTGCTGCAGGTGCTTGATGTCTGTTTGCAGAACTGCCAATAATGTTTTGAAAAAAGAGTTTAAAACTCTATGAATAAAATAAAAAATGTAATTTTGTTCTCTCTATCGCAGTTTATTGTCTGTTCGTTTAATAAAGTGTTTGTTGCTTCTGGTGTTTTCTTTTCTTAAAACATCCTGAAAGTCTTTTTTTTCAAAATGAACTAAAATGCACTAATTTCCCTAAAATATTTCCACAAGTATGTCCACAAGGATAAAAAAATCATCTTGTTTGCATGTGTCTAATTAAATACAAGTAGTTCGATTTTCTGGATTTTTTTTTCTGCAAAATCTTAATTTATTATGAATCATTTTTGTTCAGCTGTTGAAAAATAATTATTTGGTTATTGTTTTTAAATATTTGATATTGGCTCTATGTTTCTAATCAAATGATTGCATGAATGATTTTTTTGGCAAAATAAAACTCAGGTGTTGAAATATAAAATGCTGGAAGATTAGGTCCTAAAACATGCTGCCAGGTGAATATTTTGTGTTTAAAACTCCAAAAAATATGTTATATGAATATTTCAAAAATCACCCAAAACATGCCTTACTATAGCCTTACCATCGTGAAAATATCCATAAAAATAAAAAGTCATAAGATTAGGGCATTTATAAAACATTTTCTGTCAAAATGTGAACTGTTTGTGTCATTTTTGGTGAAATTCTAATAAATTCTGACAAAAATCTTTTTAAAATTATTTTTTAAAAATGTATCCGTTCTTGCATGGTTCTCATTCTCTCACATATTTTTTAAAAGGTTTTGGATTTTTTTTTTCTGCATGATTCTCATCAAAATAGTGTTTTGAAATTTTTTACAACATAACAACATAAGGCCCCTCCCTCCATATTTAACATCACCGTTATATCCTTTAAAAAAAACATTTTAACGTCACATTTAGTGCAAATTCCTGAACAATCCAGCTGTAACGTTGACGGTCTATCACTGTCCATCCAAAGCTCGTAGTCTAGGCTACAACAACCAGGAGTAAATGACTGACTGTGCTGTTACGGCTCAACGTCACTGAATCGTAAGCGATCAGGATGATTGCTGAGCTCAGCGAAAATAATCAATATCATGAAGGTACGGGTTCTTTTTACGGAGGAAGTTTTTAACTAAACAGTAAACAGAACGTTGGGGAAACACAGGTGAAAGCACTGATTCTCTACTTACCGCCACATGCTTTCGCAGGTTTGACGTGGAAGTTTCGAGAAGGACAGCGCTGTCCGCCGGAGCAGGCAACTTTAGCCTCCCGTGATAAAGTTATTGCCTCGTTTTGTATTTGAAAAAAAAAAGAATCTCTGGCTGAGACATGGTCCAGGAGTTCCTTCACTTCCTGAGTCCTCTGCTTCACAGGTGTTCTCCGCTCGGTGATCCTCAACCTCCACTTCCTGTTCAGCACCAGTCACCTACAAACGACGGGAAAGAGCCCTCAATACAGACTGTAGCGAAGTAAAATACTGAAACAAAATGTATTAGTAAAATTAAAATGATCTAGCCACAAAACTTCTTAAGAAATTACAAATTACTCACAAAAACGACTCAATTACAGTAAGGTGAGTAAATGTCATTTGTTAATTTTTATTAGTGAAGTACATTATTATTTTTTAATGTTTTACTTTTATTTTTTAAGATTTCGTTTTTTTTGTTTTTTGGGGTTTTTTTTAGTGTCATATTTTTGTATATATAAAAACGAACCCTGACCCTGGGCCCAACACACACACACACACACATCTCTGCAGCATCTTTAGCAGAACAACCAGAGCAGCTGCTCTAATCCAATTTGCCACAACAACCTTGTTATAGAAGCTGCTCTGTTCCACGTGGGACACCTACAGATAGCTCATCTGGCCCATCTGGGACTCATGGCAGCAGCAGCACAACTGCACTGACAAACCCAGGTCTCATTAATCAGTCAGAGCTGAGGTTCCGTGAGTTTGGAGCAGTGACGGG